AGGGCAGTTTTTCATGGGTCTGGCTTCTGCTCATTTCAAGAGGATGTGGACAGATGGGAAAGGGTGGAGCAGAGGGACCATTATTGACTGCGGTGGTTGTGAAATACCTGTTCTGCCCCTTTCACTCTCAAGCTCAAGCGCTTCGTGGGCCAAGAATGAAGAGATTGCAGCAGCAGAGGGCTTGGGTGGAAACAAAGAGCAGGCAGGATGGTGAGGCGTCCGCTAACTTGCAGGGCTGCACAGTGAAGGCCAGACCTATCCCAAAGTCTTGAGATCCCTGGTGGCTAAGATTCACTCCAAGCAAGCCCCAAGACCTTATCAGTGACTCGGCAGATGTGCTCACATCTGGGCAGGTGCACTAAAGGTAGTGAAAGCCTTTCAGTCCTTGGAAGGTACTCAGAGAAGACACTTATCTCCCATCATTCTCCCATCCCCATCTGCTCACCTTTGCTGGAAGGGCTCTCTGCAATTATTTGTGTGAGAGAACACCAGTCCTTTCACCAAAGGGATGCTTGTGAGTGGATCAGCAGAGACAAAAACAGATGATGGCATACTGCTGTAGGGCAACTTCCCAGGAAATAATGTTTCTTATTCTAATACACATTTCTATTTTAAAATCAAGTGACATATGCAGGTCTTCACTGGAAGTCCTTACTTTCTGAGCATGCACCTCATTACCGGGGTGGCTTATGGAGAAACATTCTCTATCATCAGTGAAGGAGCCCTGGGGTGATCCCTGTGAGAAGTCAACCTAGGCTGGGACCAACATTTTGCCTTGTGTGACGTGCAGGTCCTTCTGTGTGAAGGGAGGGAATATTACCCAAAAAAAAGTGAATTGTCTCTTCTGCACTCTAATCATGTCCTCACCCACACAGCATGCACCGCAGGGGTTTCTGACAACATTTTGCAGCTGAGCATATTGAACGAAGAGCACTGGGAAAAGAAAAAGAACAACCAAAACTGTGTCATCTTCCCAGGCTCATTCTAGGTCTTTGTTTTTTTTCTTTATTATTTCATTTTTATTTAAACTCACTGTCCTAACAAGGATTTCTTTGCTAGCACAAGTCTAATGCAGATGCAGTTCATAAAACAACCTATTCTGTTTGGGAATGTGCAAAAGAACTCTTGTTTCTATCAACTGCAAAAATTTGCCAAAGGCAGATGGGCTCCAATTCAAGCATATGTTTGTTAAAACAAAGGGAAGGGCTAAAGCACAGTTTCCTTCAGTGTCAAAACTCACCTTCCTGTTAACAGGCAATATGTACAAAGTGTAACAGATCAGGATAGTGTATTTAAGCATCTCCAAAACAATGACCTCTCTTTCCAGGTCTGTGACAGATTGAAGTAGCTCTTCAATGCTATTTATTTATTCATTCAAGTCCTTTCTCATGAAGGTCTACCTCCGACAAAACACTTGACATACTGTTTCAGTCATTTTAAAATGATCTAAAACCAAGCTGCCATTGAAATGAATAACCTCAGCTGCCTTCTCTCCCTGTCTGTTGCCTCTCAGTCCTTGGCCCTTCCTGAGGTCAGCTACAGCAATTGCAGGGCTACACATGTCACACATTCAAGAGTAAAGCTGTGCCACTCACTGACAGCAAGATAGTTTCAGCTTAGCTAGGCCAGGGGAACTCTAGGGCACAGAGTTTCTCTGTTAACAAGCAGACCTGAAGAGCAAGAACCCACCAAGCAAGAAAGTAGATGCTCTCCCACCACCACCTTCAAGCAGAATTGCTCAAAAAAGATGTTTCTAGTACCACAGGCCCTGTGTCAATAGGGACACATGCCACTTTGGTCTAAGATGGGCTGCACTACTTAATGCCACTAAAAAATCCCTTTTTCCTGAACCCATCCAAAGAATCTGTGTTGGATTAAAGCTGACCATGTCTCAGTGTAAAGGGCAGCACTAGGAGTGTCACTTAGGAGGTTCCTCCCCAAACACCTTCATCACTTCCTCCCTCTGGCCACAGCTGTATGTGGCCAGGCAACAGCAGGCATCAAAAGAGAGGGTACAAATGGCCCTTGCTTTCTGATCATTGATTACTGAACTGGGACCTTAGGAAAACCACATGGCTGTTTCTCAACCATCATAGTGCACACAGTTAAGAAACAGAGCAAAACCTGAAAGAGATGACACCTTTTGCAGGCTGCTGCATGGTTTTATCTACTTAGAAGAAGAAGGGATGGGAATTTAGAACAATCATCCTGCTGTGGAGTTACTTCCCTTTTATGGAGTGGAGCACAGCTCCAGCTCCCAGACAGCACTGCTCTGCTCCAGCCAGTCACACACACGATTGTCCCAAAGATTTTAAAAGTACACTAGCTTTGAATGAAGTAGTTGGCTAGCTGATGATCCATTGGCTCTAGACCTGTCATGGGGGGAAACTTCAGTCATCAAGCAATTGGCAGCTCTAGCACAGAGTCAAGTCAGCTGCTATTTCAGGGACAGGAAAGGCAACTTTTCCCTGGGGGGAATGACTGCACTAGCTCAAGCACCAGGAATAGGCTGAGATTTTTTTGTATAGTTGGGTTTTTTTCCCCCCTACAGTTCAGGAAAAGCGAACACACAATGTTCATTCGCAGGGATCGTTTCCTGAATGTGATGTGTGCTCACTGTCCCGCAGGTCACTTTCCAGTGTGTCACATCCTTCTGCACAAGGGAGAGCAGGAAATGGCAAACTCCCAGTATGAGGCAAAGCATTCCCATCGCAGCAATTGGTCCACAGGAGCTATAAATTGGTCTCCTCCAGAAACAGATCAAAATTTGTCTTTGAGGAGATCAGCTGGCAACTAAGGTAAGTCTGAACCAGTATTTCTTGGAGTCTTTCTGAGTACTGTATTAGGAAAGCATTTACAGGTTTTGGACTAATGTATAACTTTATTGTGGGCAAGTTTATCTCAAACAGCAAGATTTGGTTTTCTTTTCTTTCGTGCTGTCATAGATCAGACTTGCATCACTGTGTGGCATACGCTATATATTGAATAACTGTTCTACTAAGTGCAGATGGACACTCCTATTACCTGAGACTGTTCTCAGCAATAAAATCTGCACACAGAAATTGTTAAGAGGCTATAGGAATCAATATATCTAATAATTTCATATTAATCTGTTATCATGGATGATATGCTCACTTTATTTCAATGCTGGTAGCCATTTAACTTTTCGTTAATCTTTGTTCTTTCAGCTTTCTCTCTGACTATAGCAGAAAAAATAGAGGACACTGCCTCCAGCTAAGAAAAGAGCAGTGTGCTAAGTGGCTCAAATTGCCTGATAATACCAAGAAAGATTGTGGTAGTTGTTTTGAGGGGCATAGGGGGAGGTCCTAAAAGATTCTGTGCACAATGGATTGGGATGAGTAGAGGGGAAAAAAATTGCAGTGAGAATTATTTACTTACACACTTCAGTATGGAAAGACTCATTATGGTAGGAGATTTCCTCCTGAAACACAGGGATTCTGCAGAATGAAAGCCCCAAGGATCTCATACAGTCTGCCTATGTGAGGGATTAGACACCTCTAGTTCACACAGTTCAGAACACTTAGAAGTGAAAAGGTGACTGCAGCAAAGAATAGTTTTGTTTAGTTGGCTCTGGGACAGGGTCTTGCTGCTACAGAGACTTCTTTTGGCTATGAGGGCATTATGGACTGCAAGTAGCTTCTTAGGCTCATGGATAAACCTTGCTAGGTGCCAAGGCAGCACAGCCTTGTTCACAGAGTAGAGCTGTGGAGCACAAAAGCTCTGCTCATTCCTGTTGCCTTCCTTGCTTCGGTTGCCCTATAAGTAAGCATGGCTAAGGATGCTGGCTTCCTTTGTAAAGCACTTAGCAGCCCTAGAGCAATCCATAAATGCTTATGTGATCATTTCTTTCTACCTTTGTGACAAAGAACAGAGAGAGCAAACACAGATCACCTAACATCAAAACCCTGCAAATTCACTCTCTAGAAGGAAAGACGCTTTCCTGCTATCTTGCCAGGGGATTTTGCCTTAGCCAGCAGTTTTCAAGCCTTTTCTATTCACAAGACCCCTGTATTTCCCCTGTTCCCCGAGGGAATTCCCTGTCCTCAAGGGAATGTGCACTGAAAGTGGGTTCACTTTTCTGATATGCCCTTCATGAACCTTTTAAAAAAGGTCCATAGGCCTTGCTGTCAGTGTTACTGGGGATCCACCACCAAATGTTGGACTAAGGACCACAGAACAATGGTTCCCATCTTTGTCCAGACCCTGGCGCCAGGTTACAATAGGAAAAAAATTCTGCAGGACCTTGAGTTGCTTAGGCTTAAAGCAAGGAAGAATGTTCACAATACCCGTCTGAGGCATCAATGAGCTTTTCATCTCCTAGATGGAAAAACCAGACCTTGACTCCCCTCAGCAGCTACCCTCTGTCATACTTGAATGAGAGATGACCCCTAAATAGCAAGCTGGAATAAGTGGCTTTCACCTAAGAGCCTGGCCTTTCTTGTGAAAGATACCCTTGAATATTGCAGATCCTCTGAATCCCATTACAGGGACAACACATTAGTTCTGGCAGCATTACTGCTGTGGGCACTGAGTCACTTAATCTCAAGGGAATTTCTGTCCCCAGGTTTGGAAGAGACATTTTATGTCTTCAGAGAGGTGAAGAACAGCACCTCTGACCCCAGCCCTTCAGATATATTAGTCTTTTCAAGGAACAAGAAAAACATTTAAAAGGTCCTCTGCCTGAAAGTTGCAGTGGAATATGGAACTTAAATGTATATCTGTGTACGTGCATATGTGTGTGTGTACAGGAGTGTGTACGTGTGTGCAGACAGCAAACCTTTCATGTCGCTCAGTGAGGAAAAAAAAATTTGGCTGGATGCCATCCCTGAAATGGTGGTTCAGGCTAAGCATGTCTTGTTTTTTTTAGCATAAAACCTTTTCTATTTATTTAGATAGGATTATTTTAAGGTTCTGATATTGTATTTAAAGATTTATTTTTTTCTTTTAAAAAGAGCCTTTTCTGTTTCTGGACTGAGGCCATGGAGAGAAACCGTGCTGCCTTTTCCCAGACACCAGACCCCACGCACCACTTCCACGTAGCCCTGCTGGATCAGAGACGGAGACTGCGCGGCCAAATTGCTCACCTTCACAAAGCGGCTCGTAAGCTCAACAAGCTCCGCAAAAGGTCCCTGATTGCCAACGTCAGTGGGAGCACCCTGACCGCTGCGGGAGCAGTCCCAGCCATCGTGGGGCTGTTTTTGGGGTTTCCCTCCTGGCATCGGCTGTGGGTCTGGGCATGGCCACCGCCGGCGGGGCCGTCAGCATCACCTCCGATCTCTCCTTAGTGCTCTGCAATTCCCGGGAGGTGAAGAAGGTGCAGGAAATCGCAATGACTTGTCGGAAACAGATGAGGGAAATCCTCAGCTGCCTGGAGTTCCTCCGCCGGGGGCAAGGCCCGGGGGACCCCACACTGCGCCAGTCAGAGAAGAGAGCCTCCATCTCACTGTACAACTCTGTCTGCTTCATGGTCTTCTGCGGCTCCCACAGCTTCCTTGTGCCAGAATACACAAAGGAGGCCACAAAAGTGAGCCAGGCTGTGCTCAAGGCCAAAATCCAGAAGCTGGCTGCCAACCTCGAAACCTGCACTAGGGCGATGGATGAAGTCTGTGAACTTCTTGAGTCCAGGACAGAGCTTTCCCCATGCACGAGAAGACTCAACTTGAGTGCTAAAGGCATGGCTGACGTCCTGAGACCATCCAGCTGAAACAGTGTTTGCCTCATAATTAAAACTGGTCTTGGAGACATTACTTTATTAGTTGTCACCATTAGCACTGCTACCTGTTGCTGTCATAATATCTCTGGTTAATCTACACAGGTGCACGCATGTGCCTTACCTATATCTGAACACAAACTCCTTCCTAATAGGGAGCCAAAGCTTACACACACATTCCCCACTGACAGTAGCCACTCGATTCAGGTTGGAGGTTATGATAGTCATGCGAACTACTGAGTACACAGCAGCAGACCCCTGAAGCAGGGGTAGGTGGCCGTTCCTCAGACCCATGTTTCCCCAGCTGTCTCCAAGGCTCTGCTTCCCCAAGGCAGCAAAAAAAACCAGGTCAGGAGGCTGATGAAACCCCTGCAGTCCTGGCGCTGACTGCATCTGGTTTGTAAATTAACTTATGAATCTTTTTGTGGTAAAAGGGCTGGGGTACCCTCAAAAAGACAGTAGCTGCCAATTCCCAGTAGAATATAGTCGCACTACCAAGGTACATCTGGAAAGGCTGTTGAAGGAATCAGCTCCAGATATGACAGGCTGTTTGGATGGCTAATCATCCAGGGTGAAATAGCAAGACAAGAAATTGTTATTCCTTTTTGAAGAAACCTCTCCACACTGAGAACTGTGATGCTTGTGTTCTATTTATTTAGACAGGATTATTTTAAGGTTTGACATTGTATTTAAAGATTTTTCTTTTTTCTTTTAAAAAGTAGATCTCTGCTCCAAAGGAAAGCAGCCGTTCTTAGAGGTAAAGCAAGTCTGTGGCATGTAAGAGCAAGTTACCTGTTCTTTGGCTCTGAGGGAGGGCAAGTCCCTGCAGGAAAAGGAAAGCATGGCCTGAATGCTGGTAGTTAAAATAAGTGAAACACAGTAAACCAGTGTCAGACCTCAGGGACCAAAACAGGGAGAAGGACAGATCAGTGACACTGGCTCCAGGCCCTTTCTCAGGGCACTGGTGGAAGAAAGCAGTTATATCTTTTGCAGCAGGGAGGTAAGCGTAGGTTGTTGTTACTGGTCTGAGCTGGAGCCCATCTGTGACAGGAGCACATCTGAGAGGTGGAGGTGCCACTCTCCATGCAGTTGAGAAGCCTGTGAGACCCACAGTGGTTTGTCTGTGAGGGAGGAGGCATCACTCATGGAGAGCTACACATACTCCTAGCAATGCTGACCAGGGAAGGCTTAATGTTAGCAAAACATATGCTGGTACTGATACTCAAGAGGGGTACAGAGGAGTAGGATGATTCAGTGGCAGAGCACTTATGAAGCAGGAGGAAGGACTGGGACCCTGTTTCAAGTGAAAGTTCTGCTAAATATGTCCTTCATGATTTTTGACCCCTTCGTGCCTCAGATCTCTATCTAAAAATGGAGATAGTAGTACTTCTCTACCTCAAAAGGATGTTTCTGTGACAAATACTGAAAAGTGCTCAAGTACATGATGGGGATCATGTCAATACCGGGAAGAGGTACAAGGAGGAGATCCCAGAAATTATCTTGAGACAACTAGAGGAGTCAATACAGGCAGGGATAATTCCACCTCCACAAGTATGGCCCAGTGGATAGGAGAAACTCCTCTGAAGATACGTGAATGAAAATGACCAGGAAACAAACCCATTCTGTAATTCTGTAACACTGAGCAAACTCTAAGGAAGGGCAACACTCAATTTCACAAATCTTGAATTCTTGTCCTTTTTTTCTTTTCCTCTCACGACATCAATATTCGTTTTTACACATAAGAACAAAATTTTTGATCCCTCAGAGTATGACTCAGATGCTTGTAATGCCCATGCCTGTTTACCAGAACTTAACAAGTACACTGCTGATTCGATTAAATGAATATGAAGCACTTTTGTGTCAGTGTCTCTCTGCATACCTGCATGTGATCACATTCCTGCCCTCTGGCTCACCCTGCTTGATTTCATGCACCAGGCACCGGTGCCAGGGAATCAGCAGGAACAGCTGGACATATTCAGGGGTCAAGAATGAAAAGTGAAGTCATCAGCTCCCTGCCACACAGCTGGCATCTTTGTATGAGTGTATGTGTTTATGCTTCTGTGAGTGCATATCCTGGCGTGTACATCAGCCCATGTACACTGTGGATGCTGTTTCTGACATGCACACACCGAGGTGCGTATGTGTGAGCATTTAAGTGTGGGTTTGGAGTGTGAATGTGCTATGCAAAGGCAGACACAATGTGAATTTTGTTCTAGTGCTCCAGAATATCACCGGCTAACTCCACCAGGTCAGTTACAACTTTACTGTACTTCTAAGATGGCTGTTGTTTTCATCACAGAGAAAATTATACAACATACACTTCTTCTACCCCCTCTCCAGTTTTCTGGCAATGCAGCTTTGTCCACAGATCCACACATAGGGAACAACACAGGAGCAACAATAGCTCTGAATGGACTAATATGACCAGCAAAAGGATCTGAATTAGATAGTTCAGAGCTTCATGTGCATCCATCCAGTGCTCCTGGACACCTTTTAAGCCAGGTGGACCTGTGAATCAAAGTCTGCATCCTCACATCTCAGTGGCACTTGATCTAGCAGCTAGCAGACACAGCAAGAGGCGGTTGGACCCTCCTCATCCAGCTCTGGGCATGTCATCCTGTCTCCTGCCATGCAGTGAGCACTGGATCTCACTTGACACCCTGGAGATCCAGCTTTGATAGCTCAGCTGGCAGTAATCTACCATATTTGGGGATGAGATTCATTTCTTATTCCTTTTTCCCCCTGAAACAGCTTGCTGCTGAATCAGATAAGCACCAGAGCTGATACCAAGAAAGCACCAGAAGCAAATGATCTCGGCTGGGACAAGAATGCCCCTACTCTGGTATTAGTACTAGCTTAGTTCCAATATCGTGGCTCCCTTAGAGTCACAAGCAACATTTTGAGGAAGTGGTTTTGATAAGAAGCTTTTTTGCTAGTAGTTATGTTATTTACTCTTGAAAGTAGCAGATGTATTGGAGAAATCCTTCCTTGGATAGCTAGGCAGTGGAGGGGGAAGGGTACGTGTGCGATTTGATGTTTAGGCTGGGCTGAGAGTTACGAAGCTTGGCCTCCTGATGCCATTTTTACTCCCCTTTTATTGAAACTGCTGCGGGGAAGAATGATTCAATGGTGACACAGGACTGCAAACATAATTTTAGCACAAAGTCTCACAGTATGTTCTGTGTCTACGACAAAGGAACCCATCTACAGTCAGGGAGTCAGGATATCCCAACAGCCTCTCTTTCAGCATCCCAGTAGACTCCCTCTGGGCATCCCAGTGGCTAGACAGGACCATTCACCATTAACTGTGACATACACATCGTCCATCTTGTTTTATTATGCATCCCTTATGAAGTAGTTGGCACTAAATCTGCACTTAAATTCCTTTGGTATAGACTCCCACCCTGTCCTCCTGCTGGGGAAGCCTGAGCTTGTAACATGAAGTAGGGCTAGGAACATGTTTGGTCAAAAGCAAAGTCTAAAAGCCTTGGAGCGAAAATTTCTAAATCCAATATAATCTGCAGTGTCCTGTTCTGAAAAGCACAAAGAGAATCACCCTTTTGAAATGGTACTTGTTTTACCACACACAAATGCTCCCAGCAGCAGTTTAGGACAGAAGAGGACTTTTATTCAAATATATCTACTGACAAAAGGGAGTTACTCAAACTGGAATTTCACCAGAAAAGAATTGCTCCACCTTGCTCCCTACTGAAGCAGCATATGGGCAATGAGTTCAACAAAGAACCACAAGCAGTGGCTTCCCGTCACATCCCTGACTCTGTTTCCAAGGCATGAGAGTGACCCCTGCAAGGGTTCATGTGTAAGTGCTGGTCAGGCTTAACCTTTAGTACTGAATGATATATAGCAAGCTTGTGGCTCAGACTGCTGCAACTTTTGAAACATAACTATCATAATCATCATCTACACTGGGTGTTTCTTTTTGGGTTTGTTTGTTTGTTTTATTATTTTAAAATCATTGCTCCTGGACACAGTGGGAAGCAACAGCTTCATTTCTACTACTGCCCAGTTTCCTCTCCTTTCCCTGTCACGCAGAGAGTTTGTTCGGATTTCCTCTCACTTTCCTCATTGTTCTGGGAGCAGAGGAAACAGCATGCTTGGAATCCAGTGACAGATGCTCAGGTATGTCAGCATTTCCACTGTGAGCACGCCCAGCTGGGTTTCCCAGCCAGAAACAGTGAGGGAAGTCGGCTCAGAAATGCAGTCACGAGTTCCATTTTGCATTTATCTCTGCTGTCCTTTTGAAGCCTGACCTCTTGGACATTTCCCAAAAACAAAGGAGGTTCAACTAGCTGCAAGGTTGCCTTGCTGCAGTCAGCGCTGGGACTACAGATCAGAAAGCCACACCCAGACCAGATGGAAACCAATAAGCTCAGGAACGACCATCACAACATGATATTTTGATGCTGCTCTCCCTCGAAGGGCTCTAAATCCATCACAATTTTCACCTCCCACCGTGCACTTGCAGACTCCCTGCCTGAGTCACAACAGCAGCAAGCAAGAGAGCTGGGGGAGTTTGTGCATCCAGCTCCATCCTGTATTCTCCCATTTGTGAGTTGCCACAGTTCAGTTTAGTTTATGTATTTCTGGCACTTCCAAGTTGCCCACTGGCAATTACTGTAAACAGGAAATCAAGGTCTTCATTTCTTTTTCCCCCCTTCACTAGTACTTCAAAATGTTTCATCTGAGCACTTCTGAAGAAGTTAATTTGCTTTTTCTAAGCATTATATATGTAAGTTGATATATATTATTGTATTTTTTGTGCCTGGCTAGATCGTTTTGTCCTGTTCTTTCACAATTATAGAATTCATGAATACAGAACACCATCACACATGCTGCCTAAGCAATGCAAATGCCGGGCTGCAGGCCAGAGGCTCAGCCATTTGCAGTTAATGCCAAGCAGGCAGGTTTTCACACAGCCAGTTCAGCATGCTCTTATCCCAATACAGGCAGCTACAGCTCCATAACTCCTTGTC